AGTGTCATTCAATTAATAAGTGAATGTCGGAGGGAATCAATCAGTTCCCGGCGACCGCCAACTTTACACGGCGGGCGGAGCGGTGGAGCGGCACACAATTTGATTTACTGTAAAGATATATTTTACTCCTTTTTTTCTGACAAATTGCTGTCGGTGTTTATCTACTGGAATAAAAGTTCTTTTTTGAACTGTTTTACTTCTGATGAAGATAAATGGATGCTTCGATTTTGACATTGTAACGCGATTTTCTTTATATTATAAAATATTTCGTGTACTGATTGCCCCTGTCGCCCGCTACGAATGCTGTATATGTTACCGAGCAACATGGCCGGAGTCCGGGCGGTGAACCGTGTTGACGCGGATGTTGTGAATGTCTGCGTGAGCTCGGAGCCCCACAGGGCGGCACGCGGCGTGCACCGCGGCCGCTCCTCCGCTGTATGTGTTGGACAGTCAGCCCGCACATTACTTACACCAGCCAAACTCTGCAAGCTCCGAGTGAATTGGTGCTGTTGTTACGATATTTTAACCCGACTACATACCACTGCTCGTCACATCATAAACATAATATTCCGCCAGCTGTCCACGCTAGGTATGTTATTATTGGATTCAAGTAATGCATACATAATGCAGCTGACTAGTGTAGCATTATAGCTCGCGTCTAATTGTGGTACAAACTACAAAGCTGCAAAAATAAAGAGTTTTCTCCGAGGAAATTGTGTGACAATAGAAAGTTTAGCAGTAAAATATAAAAGGTTCCGGCAGCGGCTGGCTATTGGCTCGATACAAAGACACGCCGCACGCCAATCCATTGTCTTATCGCGGCGCTCGAGATTTATTTGAAAGTAGCGGTGAGTAGCGAGTGGCGACCGAACACGAACATTGCTGTTACAGATGTCTTGGATTTATTTCACTGCAACTTTATGCGGCGTTTTAATATTATATCAAGAAATATAAGAAATTAAGTTTTTTTCAATTTGTTTAAATCGACGGCTGATCGTACCCGCCATGTACTAGCGGTGGCCAAGCGATGGTTAACACACATTACGGTGTACACAACATAACCCAGCTCTCTACTACATTCAACATTTTACATAATCTCTCTTTTGAAGCTCAGTAAGCGTGTTACAAACACTTTGATCGTATAGACACATACATAGCACGTGTATATATAGGCTACCAGAAGGTATGCAATGTTTTGCTTGGCTTGCCAACTAATGTGTAATTGTATCCGCACACGACAATCCTTTGTGTTACTCACGCTGCACACACAACCAACTGTCCCCGGTGCTATTGACACAGCAATTACAAACAGTCGAATAATGAGAGCCGTCTCAACAAGGAAATTAAATATAATATGAAGAGAGTACCGGGCGGCGGACGGAGGGCGGAGGGCGAGTGCGGTCGCGAGTATTAATTATGTTATTAAGTGGAGGGCGGCGCTAATGGGGTACCAGGCGGCGGCTGCAGATCGCCTGACGTCATGCGATGCTCTATTTATCACTACTTCCTCGGAACGTCCTCTGCTCACGCCACGCACGCTGCTGACTGTGGACCGGTGCACTTCGTATACCAGGACATCACGAGATCACATCTCACATGGTTTGTTTTGCCAACACTCTCCCCCCCCCCCCCCCCAGTCCTACGTTCAATCCGCACAAACAAGGTGTGGGGGCAGGTTCTTTAATTTGTTTACTTTTTACGTTCCAAACAAAAATGTTTTTTTGAAAAGTTCCAAAAGGTCCTGCGGTTAAACAACTCATCAACATTCTTGAATTTCAACTTTGAAGTGTTCATAATCAGAAGTTTGCTGTTGAATTTTTGATTGTGAATTATGACTTGCTTGATTCACAAATGTTTGTGATTAAACAAAACAATTAGTCATTAAAAAAACATCAGCTACTGGGAATTTTATTGTTTTCTTTTGCTACAAACTTGTTTCAATATTTTATTCATAACTTTGCTTTAACACACTTTGCTTCTTTCTTAAAGTTTCCACAGTTGAAGGTTGTTCCTTCATCTCCACACTACGCGACACACTTACAAACCTCCCATCACGCAGCGAGCCGCTTCAACGAGGCTTCCTGTATCACCACACAGTATAAGGATTAAAATATAAATTGTAATTTAATTTTATTCGATGTATCTTGTTTTTTTTTTGCTTTAACAATCTTATATTGTGCTTCTATAAGATTTTAAATTGTGTGTTAAATAGTAATGTAAGCATGATGTGTTCTCCTGTAACTGAAGGAGCACAAAACATTTTTAATGAACATTGTCTAATATTGCGTTCCTAACTGAATAAAATAAAATGTTTTTATTAGTTTTCATCGGGTTCCCATCGTGCGGAATGACAATACAACGCGCTTATTGGTTAGTGCTGCCTACTATAGTCCTGTCAGTGGGGACACCGTGACCGTGAGTACAATGTGACATTACTTGTAGTACGGTACCTCAGACTCAACTCAACAAGTCGACAATGCACAGCATCTTGCCCACCTGATTACGCCTCCGCTAGTTTCTGCTGTTAGCCAAACGTCTACAACCAGAAATAAATTGTTTGTGTGGTCTGGGAACTAATTACACAAATACAATGCTTTAAAAAATGTTAAAGAATCGCGAGAAAATTGCTCGCGTTAAATGTACCGTCACGCGAGGGAAGCATAACTTCCAAACTATGTTCCTTTCAGTCAGGATGGTGCTGCGAGTATCGTCGTGCCATGTAATTAGTACAAAGCGGGGAGCCTTGTGGTCGATGCACTGGAGGACTATTGATGCCGTGCGCTGTGCGCCGGTACATCGGTTATCGGCAAAGCGCTCCGACTCGTCTCGTCGAACAACTTGGAACCACTCGGTGCATGTAATGGCTCGGTCTAAGTTCCGTATTGTTCCCCAGAACCCGCCGCGCGCCGCTCGCTACTACTGACACGGAAGCACATCGCAAGAGCTGCGAGCGATGACGCCACTGGCGACTACACATACATGTAGTATACTGAGTTGGCATTGAGGTATCTCTTTGTATAATTTTCCAGAACACTTAATCTATAAATGTGCGTATAACATTACCGTTACTTATAATCCCGTATGGTTATAATCTATCTCGCAGTTCGCACCCACAAGAAGGTAAGCATGTGAAGGAACAGGATGGTCCTTAGTCAGTGAGAGATTGACACTCCGTCACGTCACATACTTACGTTGAAGACTCAAACTAGCTACCTCCACACCACCGCCTGCACAGTATACACAATATACACGTGGCGCTGTCCACCCCCGGAGTATCGCTGTGCTCGCCATACTTGTATTTCTACATATGTTTAGAATTTGTTCGTTTTGTTCAGTAAATAATCAGTTGTGAAGTTACCTAACAAGAGGCTACCGCTAGCTATAACCTCGTTATCTTGTTGTAAAAACATCAGCACTACGATCTGAGATACAAGTTGCAAGCAGATGCTGATTAAACTTGGCCAGAGTAGAACATTTCTCATTGAAAGTTGTCTAGTTCTTGCCGAGTGGCTTCATCAAACTCGAGCAGGAGTTCAATGTAAGATACGCGTCAGTAATTTACTAACACACAGCACGCGGCTCACGCGTCGTAGTCACATTGTCACCCAGCTGTGGTGTGTAGCTCAGCTCATGGCTCGGGACAGTTGGCTTGGAAAATGCGGCGGCGGCGGGTGTTGGATATGGTGTATGATATATACTGTTTGTGAGTCGTATCGCTCGCTGTTGCCGACAACCCTCTGCTGCCGCCTATATCTTTCAAATTTTTTGTTTTAATTTACTGTGAGTTAGCTTATTCCGATTTCGAAAACGGAGTATCTATGGGCGTAAATGTCACCGATACTTGTTTTTTGATATATTATTGTTACGAGAGTTAATATTCACACAGATGTCATGGTGAAAAAAAACAATTTATTGAGACGTGTGTGGTACTGCTATTGAGAAATTAAAGCACTGTGTTTATAAGATTCGAAATGATGGTTATAAATATTACGACTCCTCTGTGGCGAGTGGGAGTGTCAGACTCTTACTGACTAAAAAGACTTACGTTCTTTCTCCTGCTCCAGGCCTGCGCCGCACACTCGAGTCTGGTTCTGGTCGGGCGGGGAGCTAGCTTTGCTCGCCGTCCGGACAAATAAACATTATGTTTTTATAATAACTATCGTGAGACATACTAAATTAACTAAAAAAAAGCATATATACGGTCGAATTGAGAACCTCCTCCTTTTTTTGGAAGTCGGTTAAAAATCGCGAGTTCTTCATGAGCAGTGTGCGCGGACGCGGCGATGTCGCGCAGCCTACTGACATCGGCGCGGCCGCGGAGGCTGGTAAACTAGTAGAGCTTTTCTCAACATATAAACTTGAGTAATCCGCGATTGTTATTTAATTTAATAATACTTACTTTCTGCTTTAGAACTCGTATACAAAAAAAAAAAAAATACCAGCATAATGCCAGACACGACACAAGTGACGCATACGACACGCGGCGACACAGCGCGGCACGGCACACTGGCGACGCGCGCTACTGTTCTAGCGCTGTGTTGCGATACGAAACTAGAGCCGACGGCTCTTTAAAGACGGAGAAACTAATAATTTTATTTGATCATTCAATATAATTATTATGATGTATCTTGAATATATCGGTGGTAGGACAATCTCACCTCCAACCTGTGTGATACACTCTCTCTCTCTCTCTCTCTCTCTCTCTCACACACACACACACACATACATTTTTTTCTGTAGTCTGCACTTTCTGACTCACTATCAATGACACATGGATGTATGCGCAACGTTTTGCATCGGGCCATGTATTCAAATAATTTTATGACATAAGAGACAAAATGTAAAAAAGACGCACATTACATCATAACATCAATTCAAACAAATAAACGAGCAGTCAGTCATTCAGTAACACACCAAGTGCTTTTCTAGATATTCAGAAACAGCGCTACAAGGACATTTATAATTAATAACCCCGTGTACAATGTACGACTTCCATGAAACTATGAACGTATAAATGAAGAGCGCATCACCAGCCGGCGCTGCAGCGCTGCACTCGCCGTCACTGTGCGCTGTACAGCATGGGACGTCTGCTTGCGATACACCTGCCCATAGTTTATTGTAAATTAAAGTATGAAACAATATTATTGTGCACCGTATTCCATAGCTTAACATAAATTATTCCGTACAACTTCTGATTACTGGAGCTACAACTAAGTATAATATAAATTATATGTAACATTGGTCGCGGTCCAAGGGCATTAATTAGAAGGAGAAGAAACGGAGGTCTTTAGTCAGTAAGAGTCTGATACTCTCAGAGAAGTCATTTCATGATTTTTCCTCCTTAAAAAGGCTGAAAAACAATGCAATGTTATTCATACATAGTACATGAACAGCTACAAACCCGCAGCTGTGGCTGAAAGTGGTCGTATTCAATGCGAGCCCATCCTTCCAGAAAGTAAAGTGTATTAGTCGTAGTAGCTCGTAGCACGTAGCCCGTAGCGGACACGTAGCCGCGTAGCTGCGGCTGACAGCGTAGTAAGCTACGCACAATAAGCGATTGCGTTATTTACTGCATATTGTATGAGCTTCGTTTATATATTCTGAGGTGGTGTCTCAGTTTAACATTATCTGTTCTTCCTTATATTATTTTTATCTTAGAAGTGTATTTGCTTGTTTTTACTCTTCATCCTCATTCCTTCATTTTGCATGAAGACTGAAAGTGCTTTGTGCATGTGGTAACTCAGTTATAATGAATAGCCACTTGTAATGTTTCTATATAGTATGCACAAATTATGACGTAAAAAGTTTTGCTATAAAGGGTGGACCCGACAGGAAACATATTGTCGGATGTTAAAAAATATTTTGATGTTATACGTTGGCAAACGAACCGACGCATTATTTGATTATGATGATTGCAACAGAGAACAAAAAGAGATGTTACGAGTGTGTTGCCGACCTTTGGAAATTGGGAAAGGGGAAGGGTTGGGTCTCCGGTAAGCTCAACCACACGGCGAAACACAACGTGGTTGTTTCACGTCGGTTTTCGGTAAGGCCGTGATACTCCAGTTCGGAGTGGTTCCGGTGCCGAAGCATGGCTCTTCCACACATATAGAGGTTCTCATTATAGAGGTCAGGAGCATCTATGACCTCTCTGCAGATTTTAAGCGGCATGTACAAAAGACACTTAAATGCACTTTGTATTGTAATCTGGTTACAGTCTAAAACGGACATATTTTCGATCGAGATTAGTATAGCTAACCTATGTAATATAATATTAATATATAGCTAACTTATATATTATAATATCAATTTATAGCTAATGTAAAGATAACTTTCTACAAAACCAACAACTCTCTTTTACTTTGGACAATTTGCTTTTAATATTTTCATTTCAAATATGGGCTTAATTAATGTTGATTGGTACTCTTTGTTTTAAACAAACTGTATAATTTAATTTAAGACATGAGCGTAAAATTAAACCAACATTTTATTTCTTTTATTTGATTTAACGCAGTGAAGATTGTTCGTTCCGCACAGTACACATACATCGTGTACGTCCGGCGTCACCCGCCACTTCTCATATTCATTTACTATGTGTAATGCAGTTTGATATAATCCTTATTATTTACCGGCACTGTGCATTAATTAAAGTTTAATTGATAGGTTTATTTTGTTTATACTTGCAGATAAACTATTGAACCGTCACAACCTGGTTAACTTCAGTCCACTGCCGAGTGGTTGTTTGATGGTCATACACGCCACGCACGACGTTCTGTACATCACATGTAACTCGCTAAACGCTACGCGGCACGCCACACGCCACGCGCCACGCGATGAATGAAATATAATGAAAGAGGTTGCGGTCCGAAATATAAACGTGAAGTGTTGCGGCCGCGCTCAGTTCATACACAAAGTTTGTATGGGACCAATCTGGCGGCGAGGCAACATTAACGAGGCTAACACAAATAAAAACTGGTTCTCACCAGAATATTCCAGCTATTACTGCTTTTTACCAGTTCTGAAACCGGGCCGCTTCGTGTATTCAATGGCCAGCACATTTTACCATTAACTTTGTGTGCCCACACACACGATCTCCAATATAAGTCTCATACTGACACTGATGCTGTGCTGTATGAGTGCGGCACATTGAACGTTCATTTGAACAAAGCGATGCTTGACAAAATAGATGTCATTAAAGTCACACTTCTTATATTTCATGATATCTATACTTATAATAAAACTGTTGAGAAGTCAATTCTGTACATGAAATATATTTTCGTAATAGCGATCAGTGGGTGATTAGTGATCGATACTGATGCCAAAAATGTAATCTGTAAAATGTTTGTCTGTCTCTCTGTGTGTTCCTTATAAAAACAAAAACTATCGACAGATTTTAACGAAACTTGGTACAATTATTCTTTATATTCCTGGGCTGGTGCAAATGATAGGAGCACTCCATTTTTTTAGCTTCCGTCGCGTGTGCAGCCTTCGTAGTTAAAATTACATAGAAATCATGTATGATGGGAATATTCTGCATAAAATTATCTACAAAATATCCGACAACAGTATATTTCTACCTTTTATGGTTGACTCATGATAACACGTGTAACTCCTGATAGCTTAGCAGTTCGAAGCATTCTGATTATATTTGTTTTTTTTATGTTTATAATACTGTCATTTATCCCTAAATAAAAAACGTTGAATGATCGGAATCAGTATAATATATGCGTGCACTTTTGCATGTTTCAAGATACTGTAAGAATGGGCTATATTATAGTGTATATAGTCCGCTCTACATGTCCTACATCCATAAAATAGTGGAGAAATTTAGTATCAGCGTTGCACCCGTGTGCAGCTGGGGCGGGTCGCTAGTCTCTAATAATATTTGGAAAAATACTACGTCAGCAATTATTGGTACGTATATAAAGGCTCATAGTACAAAATGTAGACCACGAGTAGACGGCGGGCGCTCTCCCTTACACAACTTTTGTAATAACATCATTTCACTGAAGCGACAAGTCGCGTTGTGTAGCAAAATGTGGTTAGCGGTACTTATTTTGTTTATAGCAATCTATAATATTTTGTAGCTCATTTTATTTATTTTATCCACCCGTATAATTGTGGTCCATATTGTAGTACAAAGAACATACATCACAACACATGATGCAATGAGTGGTCAGATTTAGTTGAATGTATATAATTTGGCTCGCCGTGACCGGTCCCCATCGATAAATCATCTTTTTATTGGATTAATGTTTCAATATTCCAATGTAGTAGTGACACACGCGACACGGGTACAATATCATCAATATGTGGCGAGCGACGCCGGGCTGTCATGTCGCGGCTTGACGAAGAGTGATCGTGACCAGCGTGACCAGCGTCCAGGCAGCGTAGACCCGCGCCCGCAGGCGCACTAAGGCCGTCGAGTAGAACATAGCTTGCACTAAACTGCTTCAAATCAGACACATTCTGGACGTGCTACACAAGTCACAAGTTGTATGTACGACTTCGCCCAGCACGGTGGCACGCGGCGCCGTGTTCACGTGTGTGTCTCTCCGTCGGATTCTCCATTAAGCTTCATAAAACTATCGACCTGTATATCCAACGTATTGCTTAGCACAGTTTTAATTATTTTCTTACAACACGGAAACCAAATTGAATATAAACTTAACAAGAAATGAGAAGTCTACGCCCGCCTTTCAGACAGTGTTTTTGTTTTTGCAGTAGGATTTTTAATATTTCAGCGGTCCGGCCGTCGGGAGCAAATATTTTTCTTTTATTGTCGGCTGTAATGAGGGCAGATAAGCGGCGAGCGGGTGATAACAACGCTGTTTGTGAGCTCCGCCGAGACCGAGCGAGCGCCGACTGAAGCCGGCTGCTGGCACGACTACTTCAATTATACATTCTCGTATGATTCACATTCCACGACGCCACGTAACGTGAAGTTTACTTTGAAACACACCAAGTACAATCGCGACGAACTGTAATTACTTCGGAGACGAATGTGAGGCGTCGCCGCGTCGCTCAACTTTTATGGATGCTCAGTACAGCGCTCACTCACCTACCTGCATATACAAGCAATGACCAAACCTACAGACGATTTTTGTCCGCCGTCATACAAAATGTGTGGTTTGACCAGAAACTAACTGAAGCAGTAAAATGCATACAATGACACAATTAGGATATAAAACAGCACTTTTACACGTCAAAATTATATGTAAAATAGTAGATGAAGCCGGGCGGCGTTTCCTATCCGACTACTCTAACGGGTTAACCAGTTTAAGTAACGAGTGTTGCTGAGTTGTCCGACGAACAATACCTATACAAACTTCAGACAACAAGCGGTCGAAAAGTGCAGCAACGTCTCAGACGGTAACAATAATTGCTAAAAAAACTGAAAATTATCAATAAGCAAATAAAAAAATGTCGTGAAATAATCACAGCATTGTGTTTCGCTGTGTGAGTGAGGCTACCGGAGACCCAATCCCTTCCCCTATCCCATCCCTTCCCAATCCTTAAATATCCGAAACCCTTATCCCTAAAAGGCCAGCAAAGCACTCGTAACTCGTTTGGTGCTTCGGGTGTCCATGGGCGGCGATGATTGCTTACCATCAGGTAATCCGCCTGCTCGTTTCATCACAGCCCTCCTATTACATAAAAAACAGGCCCAGAGCGTATCGGGCTACACTCAGTGTAGGGTTCCGTAGCTTTCCATCTGTCATTAAATTAATAAGTGTCCCCGTTTCCAAAAAATGCTTGCATATACCATTAAATTACCAAAAATTAGTTCCGATTTTTTTGTACAATATTTCAATCCATCGAGTTCAAAATAATTTTCCTAGAAAGAATGCAAGAAGTTTTGCTTTCAATATTTTTTCCTTTCTAATTTCAGCTTTCTAGTGCTAACGGTCACTGAGATTATCCGCGGATGGACAGACAGACAGACATGTCGAAACCATAAGGTTTTCTAGTACTTTGCGACTCAAACATTTTCCGAGTTGTATTACGAAAGTAGCAATTTGAAAGCGCATCCTTATTTTAAATTCTCACTAAATGTACGAGTTACACCAAAAGTGTACAAAATAGAGAAGGCGGTGCTCAGCGCCTTTTGAAGTGCTAATTCGAGCCGGCTACCGGCGCGCGGCGCCCCACTGTAGCTCGCTTTGCCGGGAAATCGAGCTGAAACACGCGCGGTGGGGCAGGGATTGCGTCACGTGGCGCAACATAATGTCATTAGTCGAACAACGTAACATCGTTTTTATCAATTAGACCACCCGACCCAATCAAGATTGTCGCACTCCAAGAACATCGTATCCCTACGGCACGGAGGGTGCCACAGCGGTCGGTGCGCTAACATAATACTGCGCTCACAAACTATCACGGGGACTACATAAAGAACATGGTCAATACTCTTGACGTCACTGCACTGCATTAGAGCCACAAATATAATATATTTACACGGAAGTCCAAACACACGAAGGCATTTAAGAATATTACTTTAAACTTGGCGTTCTGTAGGTTTTTGATCTATTATTTGTTGTAGAGCTTGTACTTAACTAATAGAGGTATTTTATATTTCTTAGATCAATTGATTATATTATTTTAAAGCGACCAGCATTAGTTACCAAGCATCAATCTATGAATGAAACATTTTGTTGTTAATGACATTCGCATCACTTGCATGTTCCTACCTCAATAATGCTGCACAGCGGATTAATACAATACCGTGATTGTAATACGTTGCATACATGTCTAAACGATAGTAGACCACGCGGCGGTCACCATCAGTAGTCAGGTCCATCAGTGGGCACGCCGCGGCGCCACGCATTAACGTTAGTGCAATAACGCCGGATAATATTTCAGCTTTGCATCAGAAACCGTAAAACACTGAATGCACTCTCTCATTAACTACCAAACAAATTGCCGCGAACAAAACTGTTTTATTTAAATAGCCTCCAATGAAGGCGTGCTCTCGTTGGCAGCAATGACCGACATGGAGCGACACGGGCGAGGCACGAACGCTGCACGAGCGCGTCACGACTGCGGGACGCTGGCGACACGGGGCCCACGCTTTAACAGTAATGACACTCATAAACCGCGCGGGTTTAAATGAACGAATATTGTTTATGCGCGCACACTCGCGGATTGAAACGTTATATTTATGTTACTGTTTCACTCCGCATTAAAAAAGTGAGTCATCAACAAAAAATTCATTCGCGCCATATACGATA